TTACACCATTACACATTACACAAGACCCAACACACCACAGCACCTCATGTCCTCATCTGTGCCTAATTTGTAGTCCATTTCATCATATCATACTTTTTTGTAAAAGAAAACCTTCACCATCACCAATTCACCAATTCACCAATACACGTGAGCTTTCCGCTATTACAATAGTAGTGTATCAAGTATGGCACAACATCAAACATTGGCACCGACTTTGGTAGGAATTGAAGTTGAAGAATGAAGCATATATATATTCTTTAGCTTGTGTTGGGGACTTGGGGTTATATATACCATTTACTCTCTGTGTATGTATCATTGTGGTCTACCTTAAAACACTATATTTTTATTATTAAACAATATTAAAAGCCATTAACTATTTATCAAAAAAAATTAACCACTAAATTTGTTTGAGGGAGAGGGATGTAAAATTTTCTTTGTGTCAAGGATGAAGTGTGATGCATTGTGTCATTCTTATACGTCATCTCACTATCACTAATGACAAAATTAAGTGATAAAAATACAAAAAGCAAAATTAGTTTATAGAACAATAATCAGACTCATCAGAGATTGGTGGTGGTGGACTGGTGGGGGAGAGACTCAGCTGAAGAAAAGGTAGAAATAAACATCTAAGCTAAATATGGTGGATTCTAATATATAATGGAAAGGGTAATTTCCCAAAGAGGACCACTTTTATGGTGCCTCTTCCCAAACAGACCGACTGGAATCTTTCCAAATATGACAAAAAAAAAAGTGATATTTTTGTTACCGATTTTACCTTTTTATTAATATGTCATCTTGTTATATATATTGTGTCTTTTATATTGCATATTATGTTTTCCATTGCAAATTATGTCCTCTCCATTGAATATATAATAATATATTATGTCTTTATCGATAATTGTGCGTTTTGTTTTAAAATTTGTAAATTCTATAACTTTTGATTGAAAAGTCGGATACGAACAAAATGTATATATTTGGAAATCTCTCAACAAGATCTCACATGACTAGCAAGTTTTTAAAATTAACATCCTTATGTTTTTAGAAGAAAATGGTAATGTATGATTGGCCCTACATGTGACATGAATGTATGATAATTATATTTTTGGTAGGCACTCCAGAATATATGTATGTATGAAATCGGTATGTTTACATTAGCTAATGTGTCAGCTAGATGATGTTATATATCCTCTTGAATAATAAATACGCCCTCTAGATGATGTATACTTTGGTATTACACTTAATATAATTTATTTTATATATACTCTTGAATAATAAATACGTCATTTTTAGCTTCCTTTGTTAACATGTTCATGGAATTCTTCACTCTACAATGTAACAAGTTTGTGGTTATACAAATCGTGTATTTTACCTCTTATTTGTTAAATTTCAGAAGACATTTTTGTGTATATATTGTTGTTTTAAGCTTTAATTTGTAACGAATACTAACATAAATTACCATTAAAAAACATCAATAGTTTGAGTAAAAGGATAACAAAAATATCGTTTACGAGGACGTAACGTGTTATGTTGAGGACATAATCTATTATCTGGAAGATATGTTGTTAGCGTTTTACAGACATTATATATGTTACATAATTCATCTAATAAAATTTTGATTTTTGTGGTAATTTGTGATACCATTGAAAATGTATTGAAAAAATTTCTGTAAAAACCAACTCACGAATCGCAAGTTATAATACTTCAAATTTTGAGTCGAGAATTTACTAGTCATGTGGGATCTTGTTGGATAGATCTTGTTAAGAGCTTTCTAACTATATAAATTTTGTTTGTATCCGATTTTTCAATCAAAAGTTATGGAATTTACAAATTCTAAAACAAAAATTATAATTATCGATAAGACAGAATATATTATATTATATTCTGTATGTAATCTAGAGGACATTAATATGCAATCTAGAAAACATAATATGCATAAAACAAAAAAAGAGTACAATAGTCATAAAAATTAAAAAATAACCAAAATAGTCCGGTTTGAAAAATTTCCGGTTCAGTAGCACGGTTTGGGAAGACACACCATAAAAGTGGTGTTGTATGGGAAATTACCATAATGAAAAAGAAGAAAACTGACAAGATGGCCGGGAACAGAGATCTCTGGTGCAATATAGATTATAGATTATAGAGCAAAGAAGAGGAGGAGAGACTAGAGAGTAAAGAGTGGAGAGCAAGTAAGATAGAGCATCATATCGATCAACAATATCATCTGAATTCTGAAACCCAACACGAAAAAAGAGGTCGTGATTAAC